ATAGTAGATAAATGAACAGTAACAAAGAGATCATACTGGTCATTAACTTTAAAAGATTTCCAGTCAAAACAAATGAACAATTTTTAATACGTTCCTTTCATTAGAGTATTATTGATAAATAATATTATACTTATTCTCATAGCTTTTTCTTAGCTTGGGAGAATCAGCTATTATCCCCATTTTGCAAGTAGGAAAATAAGCCCAGTATGTCTAAGTTCAAAGATGAATCAGTGTTGGGTTTGCTAGCCTCTTGATTTTAAACATTTCTAGGTAGTAGTTTATGCTACTGCACATTATTCAGTGTGTCTTTTGCATTTAAAGAATGAATGATTGATTTTTAAAATACTCAAGATTTATTCTTTAATTTATATAACCCACTACCTACCCAAGGGCCTCAATTCTTAGCATCTCAATAAATAAAGAATAGAAAGTAATAAACCACTGGCTTGGAATCATATAAAAAAGAATTGGCTTCTTTTTCAGGGACACAAAGATATTAGTCATTTTAAAAGTTTATAAAAAATATACTGCAAGTCCATTCCTACAATAAGGTAATGAGGTAATGGTAAATACTAAAACACCATTACTCACCTTTCTCTCCTGCTGGTATAACAGTGTCAACGGACATCATAAGGTACATGCCAGCAATTAAAGGCTGTCTGCAGAAAAAAGGAATATTTCTCTCAATAACCTGAAAAAGTCAAAACTACTGTCTTAGAAAAATAGACTATACCTCAATACAGTGGTTTATAAAATGTGTTCCTTGTGAAAATTAGAATCAAATAATATGGAAAAAGAGGTAGGATACATACACAAATCACTTCTTCTCTTGTGAAGGCAGGTTCTAAATGGTTCCTGGGATAGCTAGGTTTACATGTCAACTTGGCTGGGCTATGGTGCCTGGTTGTTTGGTGAAACAGCAGTCTCCATTTTGCTGGGTAGGTATTTTTTTAGATGTGATTAATATTTAAATCAGACTTTGAGTAAAGCAGATTATTGTGGGTAGGACGTCAAAAGGAAGGAATTCTGCCTACAAATTGCCTTTGGACCCATGAATGCAATATCAACCCTTCCCTGAATTTACAGTTGGCGCCATAGATTTTGGATTTGTCAGCCCTACAATAGTGTGAGCCAATCCCTTATAATAAATCTCTCTCTCTTTCTCTCTCTCAATATATGTATATCCTATTGGTTCAGGTTTCTTCAGAGAACCCTGACTAATACAGTTCTCATGATTCCTAGCTGTGACATTCGTATCCTTGTCTAATCTCCTCCCCTTGAATGTGGATCAAAATAAGTGTAGTAACTTATCTTTAACAAATAGAATTTGTCAAAAGTGATGGCATGTCACTGCTAAGATTAAGTTGCAAAAACACTCTGGCTTCCCTCTTGCATGCATGCCTGCTCTTGCTTTTTTGCTTACTTTCTATGATGGAAGCCAGCTGCCATATTGAGAGTGGCCATTTCCAGTTCACATGGCAAGGAAATGAGGGCAACTTTAAGCCAACATCCAGAAAAGAACTGAATCCTGCCAACAAAACTGGCTCCTCCCTGGTCGAGCCTTAAGATGACTGAAGCCCCAGCCAAGATTTTGACTGCAGCCTCTATGTGAGACCCAACTAAGCTGTGCCCAGATTACAAACCCACAGAGAACTGAGATAATTAATACGTGGTTGTTTTAAGCCAGTAAGTTTGGGTTCATTTCTTATTCACAGGTAATAACCCAGCAAACTTTCCACTTTTAAGTTCACAAAGATCTTCACATCCTTGCTTATCTGGGAAAACTGAAGTACTTACGGCAGACGTGTGAGGTGTAAGGACACACCAGAACAGTCTTTGTGATTATCTGAAAATACACATAGAAACACACATTTTAAATATGAAAATATGAAAAATTTTGAACTGATACATTTTAAATGATTATAACTCAATACTTAAGAAAAAACAAATTTTCACTTGTATGGTGCTTTATGCTTTACAGAGTAGTTTCATATTTATTAACTGTTGTAATTGCCAATGCATCCTAACAGCAAAAAAAAAAAACCCTATTGTTTCATGCAGTCTGTAGTATTTCTTGACTCATCAAACTGAACAGTTATTGGCTTTCCTGGAGAAATACCAGATATTAGGCACAAGCCCATAGAAGAAAGTTGTTGCTACTCTCTATGCCTTATCTTTATTGTTGAAACACTCAGAAAAGTTGCTAAACTGAATGGTTTGTTCCAGGCTGCCCCAAACAACTTGGCTTCTCTACTTTTCAAAAACTGGAGTAGCCCATAATTTGGGTTTTCATATATTTTAGGCATTATTGAAGTCTAGTGCTATGCAAATCCAAAATTTTATTATTGTAGAAGTTTCTGATCTCTTCTAGAACAACTTTCTTAGTTGAAAAGCCCGTATGTTTGCATATACACACAGTGAGACATCCCAGCGGGAGCAACTTGAACTCCCTCAGACAAGGTGGTCTGGGGGCCTGAAAGGCTCCTGGACCCACAGCTGCTCCTACAGCAGGTGGCATCTCTGGTGAGAAGCATATTTCAGCTCCAGTGTTTGGCACAAAGATTATGACCTCCTGACTCCAACATAATCCTTGCCACAGTGATGTATTATTATTTCCATAATCTCTATGCCGATCTCACTTCTGGTGAACTCAGAAACTTCAGCTAGTTTTGCACATTTCACTGATGATTTGTAGTGTGCTCTGACTTTGTCTGCCCTTCTGCTGTAATGCAGTGCTTAGGCCACAAGATATGAAACCTCGTGAGAATTCATTTCAATTCACTAGGCTGTATGAAATCTGTCTCTGACATCCATCATTATAAAAATGAATGCCACTTAAAAGGTTAATTACAATAAAGAAATACGGTGATGCTTCTGCTAATATTTTACCACATAAAATGAAACAAAGAAATCATAAATGAGCCAAGAAATGTACAGAAAATGAACTTGGAATATCAAAATCACATCCTAGTTGATCAGCCTGGTTGGAAAGACTTCTTCTGTGACTAGAATTAAAGTGAACAAGAGAAAGGAGAGGAGAGGGAATAGATGGAAAAATTAACCCAGGGAAGAAGACCCAAGAAATGGAATTTCATTGCTTAAAAAAAGATGGGAACAGTAATGAGTCAAAAAACTAAAATGATCTGAAATTGTAGGACTGAATTTGTCCAAATGAAAGGCAGAAAAGGAAGCAAACTATTCCCCCTGATTTATATTTCAGTATAAACACTGTACATTTCCACATGTCAAATTTGTTAGATATAAAGTTTGAAATTTATCTGTATATTTTTATCACACACAATTATTGTGTGTGATTATACAATATAGTGCCTTAAGACCATCATCGGTTTTCAGCCAGGTGTTCACTGAGTTCCTTTGTTTAAAACAAGTGAAATCTAGAAGGTTATTTAATACTTGGTAGATTAATACTAGTGATCAATATTTATACCA